GTTTGAAAATTGAACATGTATGCCAGCAGGAGAGTGTTATCTTTCAACAAGCCAGACACTCTAAACTTCCGATGCAATGGATATCATCACCAAACAGTAACTGCCATCACAACCACAATGCAATGCTAAAAGACAACACCGCATGTGGGATGGTGACAAAACTCTTGGACTCTTATATTATTTAAATTTAAGTATAATTTCAAAATCTTCACCTTTCGCATGATTAAAAATGAAAATTATTAATGGTGTTAAACGTTGATGGGAGACTTAATCTTTTAGTTCAGATTCGGAACATGATGGGTTTTATATTTTAACACAATTCCCAAGGAAACAAATATCATTATTTCAACACTTTTTGAAAAATCACAAATCCGAGTCAACATTTCCATTAAACTAGAAAATAACTTGGTCTGGCTTACTAAGTCAATGTAGAAATAGTTCAAACAGGGTCCAGTGAAACCATCAACATTAAAAAAAAGTCCAAAAACAGGATTAGGAACGTTTATGAAAGCTTGTCCTACAAATTCTAACCACATAACTGCAAATCTGAGCTTAATGATCCTGTCAGGTTACGATACAGACACTGCAGGACGTGAACTTGCTCCCCAATTAAATAGATCAGGGCAACTGTGGTCCATTTATTAGTGGCTCTGGCTGAAGGGCAATGACTGGGATTACAATCACTCTCACCGGACTCGACAGACACTAAGTGCAGCCTCTTTTAACTTCACACCGCTTGTTTTTTTTCTTAAAGTTCACAATCAAAGAAGAGGATTCAAGTGTGAACGGAAAAATCAATCAAGCTGCAAAGCCAATTCATCCGAATAAATTCCTGGTCAGAAGTTAGAGGTTTAAACTTGCCAAGAAATGAACATATTACTCGCATTGTCTGTAAACATGGCCTAGTTTTCCCCATTGATTTTAGGAAAACTCTTTTTTACTGTATTTATAGTAATAAAACACCACGCTTGAAAGTTAAATGTTTCACAGTTTCTCTAGCCAAGAAGCCATCAACACTCAAATAGCTTTATCTGGATCAGAAAAGAGTAGCAAATATTGAAAGACAGTTATCCTTGAGTGGATATGAACATTAAAGGCACAGCACATACCCATAGATCAACACTTGATTTAACATTCTATATGTATCTCACTAACCATAGTACACATTAGAATTGGGATACTGGTTAAAATCGTAAGCTTGTCGCATGAGGCTACTGACTTAATAGGCTGTCCGACCCGGTGACTTGGTTGATTGTGTCATCGTAACCCAACAGGCACCATTGCTCTTAATATCAATCACTGGGTTGTCTGATGCAGACTCGATTATTATCAGGACGTCAACATATAGCTGGAATTTTGCTCAGTGTGGCTTTAAGCAAACAACCAAACACATCATAATGGCCTCCAGTAGGTATTTGGTTAATGAAAGTTGATCCAGTCATCATGTCAGGAAATCTATTTCTGTTTCCGATGATTGAATGTCTGTGTGGTCAAGTCATACATAATGTTGTCACAACGTCTCAATCACACAACCCAAACTGATTCCTGGGTATGGCTTCTGAACTGGAGAAGCTCACACGACTTATCGAACCAGTTTGGACCAGTTAATGTCATATGACAGGTTTCTGGTGTTTTGATGGAAGGAAATGGATTTGTATGCATAGATTCATAAACCACAGGCAAACCCTGAATCAAGTGGACATGATGCATATCCAGGCATTTATCTAGGTTACCAAACTATGTGCCCTTTGCCAGGCAAGTTGGGAAACAACATCATTTAAACATTCAAAATTGGGATTTTCAAAATTCTTATTTTCTGAATCTCAGGGACATGTTAACTTTACTAACACTGCATTCAATATATAACGTAAAAAACTAAGTAAAAATGCTATTACCTTTTCTGGTGCTGTTATGAGTGAAATACAAATCTTACATAGTACATATTTAGCATGAGAGTCATCTAAAAGAATAATCAATAACTCTGATACGTAGAATAAAGTTAACGTTGATACTACCTAATTTTGTTAAGCTGACATAATCATATGCAACCAACAATGTTGGATTAACAGGACTTGACTGTATATCGCAGTGTGTCAGCTTTATGTGGAAGGAAAACCCGAAGTGATGCAGGTCACAGTCAGAAAAGAATACATTTCATTTTCATACTAGTTACCATAAAAAATGGATATGATACTCCTGATGCAAAACACTGACTCAAACACACTGCATGCAAGTCTACTAGATACATTATTGCCATAAGTGCCACAACTTCATGAACTATCAAACCTTTGGTAAACCCTCCAAACCCAACTTCAGCAATACCTTGTGGTTATTGCAGCACCATTAAGAAAGAGCATCATACTTTGCCACTCACTTCTCCACCAACACGAGCTGACGCTCGGGAGCTCTGTCAAATCAACCAAAGGACCAACTTCCCAAGGCCTGATTCATTCTTCCCTTTGAGTCATAAAAACAAATGTTGGGAAATGCTTCAATAGAAATCGCCAAGAGTAAAGATTTGGTCCTGTGCTCCATATAGAGCTGTTGTAGAATCATTGAACAGACAACTGAGGATTTGTCGATGAGATCTCCTCCTAAGACAACATACTGTTTTTTGTACCTCGCGTGTATTGATTAATCTCTAAACTGTTGCTGTTCGCCCCTACGTTGGACAAGGAAAGAAAATGGGGTTATTTCCAGGATACGGAATGGGCTTATTTTTTACCATTGAATTTAACATCACTTATTTCCAATTCTATCACTTACAACAGCACAGGAAGACAAAAATAGGAATATTGAATTCATCAACAGGAGTTTGACAGACATAAATATTAGAAAGGAATGTAAGTTTCCTGGTTTTTCCAAGACAGGATCATAGCCACAGGAACATCATCTTCAACATGAGGAAATGTAAACGCTATTAGCTCGGAGGTTAGGTTGATAAAGTAGATCAACATTTCTTCAAATGCAACACAGACGTCCTTTCAAAGATTTCTCCATTTCTAAAAAAACTATTATTTCTTTGCATTCAAAGATGTAATTTGAGCAGATGCAACAATATGTTTGCTATTTTTGTATACTTCTTAACATTTGAGCAACATATCTACCAATGAACATTTGCCAACTTCCTCCTCAAATCAGATAAAAAGATTGAGTTCCTCATAAACAGGGAAGCGGGGACCTGTATTTTGCTTTCACAGACCCTTCCTGATGGGTCAATATTTCATTTGAGGAGGCTCTCCACCGATCATGCAATGGTTACCTCTGCACAACAGAGTCATCCTTTGATTCATTTGAGGACATCTTTTCTTGCTCATTAACACTAACTTCTAACACTCCCAGAGTCATACATCAACCAGGCCTTTCATAACAACACAGACCAGGACATGGCGATCACAGAAAACAGTCCTATCATGTTTCACAAATTTTAATATGATCTCACTCACTTTCTGTTGACCTTCAAAAATCACACCTCACACATGAACCACAGGATCTCTTGCTCGTTTGTACCCTGCCCTATGAGGGTGTTCTGTATAATAAGATTCAAGATTCAAGATTCAGGACCGAGATAGGATAGGTCAGGCACCGGGTGTGATTCACATGAGATTCGGTCAAATCACATCTGCTGTCAGTGACAGCTTGGGCGGCCATCTTGATCTCTCCTTCCCACAGATGTGGAGCATGCACGTGCACAGAAACAAACATGGACCGCCATTAAAATTGCCGACAATGAAAAAATGATTCATCAACAGCCCCGCATTCATAGTCTCTCAATGGCCAGAATGAAACACACACATAATGTATTTGATCTCCCAATTTCTGTTTGATGTGAGGCAGCGTGTAGCTGCCAGTGGAGTAATTGCTTGAACGCGATATCTGATTTATTTTGGGAATTTTACATTTTACAAAATCACAGCCTCTTACAGAAGATTAAACAGAGCTTTAATTCTTCACAAAATACCAATATTTTCAAATATTTGACAAATTTCAACAGTTCAAACCAAATTCCTTCAGTAAAAACTTCAAATAATAATAATATGTCTTCCTCAAGTAGTATCCAACAATGCCTGTGAAACAAGACAAAACAAACCCCTAAAGAAAATTCATTCACAAATAAAATTTGATGTCATACAATCAAATTCTTGAGTGTATAGCTAATAGTTCCAACACGTTCAAATATTAGGGGCATTCCCCATCATGGTCTGCGACGAGTTTCGAGTGTCGGGACAGCTATTCCTACAACCGTCAGACACACATGTAGGATGCATACCTTGTTTCTTTGTCTGCACAAATATCTTCAATACCCTACACATAAAAAAACATACTCCCAGCATTCCTTCCCAGCAGCTCAAACAAAGTGCACAGGGTAAATATGCATTTGGGGCTAATTTGAGCAATAGGATCTGTTTTCAGTATAGCATTAGGGGTTTGTTAGGAAAGTGTCATTCATGCGATAAGACTTGACAAAATTAGTGAAGCATATTGATGGTTGGCACCAGAAAAAAAATTGTTTTCGGTCAACCTGACGGCTTGAACTTGAACACTGTGTTGCTCTTTACCCATGAGTGAGTGAGTGAGTGAGTGAGTGAGTGAGTGAGTGAGTGAGTATGGTTTTACGCTGCTTTTTGCAATTTTCCAGCAATATTCCAGCAATATCAGTACCCATGTCGGGAATCGAACAAAGGCCACTGATTGATTGATTGATTGATTGATTGATTGATTGATTGAATGATTGATTGATTGATTAACAGCTATATCTGCAGCTACATCACTAAACCTCATTCTTATAAACCCCAAAATGATGTAGTGGCTGTCCAAGCTAGGTTTGCACAAGCAGATAGTCTGGCTATGACTGAAATTCTGAGTGGCATATTCCAGCAATAAAGTCACTGAACTGTCTGGAGACAATTTCTTCAAACAAACACCAGAACACACTTCCACTGCGGGTGATCAGCCGCAAGTGCATGAGCATTCCAAGCAATGACCTTGACCTCACTCACCTCGAGAGCTGGTGGCCATATCTGCCACTTTCTGAAAAGCGTCCAGGAAGGCGCTGATCGCTATGAGAGTTGATCTGAAAGAGAAACAATCTGTGGTTATCTTTCCAGAACACAGCCGTAAATCAGACAAAAATAAACAGGTGGCAAAAAGCTCCCACAAATCAAATACTACTTGCTGCTGTGAATCAAGTGTGTAAGTGTTTTTGTACGACTGGTCTCAGTGTGCATGCAAATATCAATGGGAAGATATCACAAAAACAATTATTGATTTTTTTCCAATGTGGGAGTATGTGTGTTGTTACATTCATTATGTAAGGGTACCATTATACTGTCTGTCGGAGTTCACATACACAAGGTCAGGAGGGAAGGATGATGAATGATGAATTATTGTGAAATGCCAGCAGTTACGCATATTGTTACTCATGCTGACTGTGCTCTATGATCATGTGAGGCTGTGATATGTGTGTTTGTTTGTTTGTTTGTTTGTTTGATGAATGCCACACTCAGCAATATTCTAGGTATATGACAGCAGTCTGTAAATAATCAAGTCTGGACCAGACAACCTTGTGATTGATATCATGACCATCGATCTACGCAACTGGGATACAATGACATGCATCAACCAAGTTAGTCCTGTACCATGACTGTGGAATATATTTATTTTATGAAAAATACAACAATCTAGACATGCATACAAAAGCAAGTATAGCCAGATCTAGCTGGCTCTATTCCGTGAAATCAGCATAGGGAATTTTTTAAAACTTTTTAGAGTCATGAAGGATATTGTATAAGATTTCATAGACTAAATGTTAGTCTACAATCAAGTCAGCGAGCCTAACCACCCGATTAGTTGCCTGACAAGCATGGTCGCCTGTTACTGCCAGCATGGGTTGCTGAAGACCTATTCTGGGTGGGGGTGTGGGGTGTGGGTGGGGGGGTGTGGGGTGTGGGTGGGGGGGTGGGGGGTGAAATCGAACCCTGGTTGGTTGGTTGGTTGGTTGGTTGGTTGGTTGTTTAACGCCGTACTCAGCAATATTCCAGCTATATGACGGTGGTCTGTAAATAATCAAGTCTGGGCAAGACAATCCAGTGATTGACATCATGAGCATCGATCTATGCAATGACAAGCATCACCAAAGTCAGCGAGCCTGACCACCCGATCTCGTTAGTTGCCTCTTTTGACAAGCATAGTCACATTTTACGGCAAACATGGGTTGCTGAAGAACTATTGGAACCCTGGTCGTCAGCGTGATGGGCCAATGCTACGCTACCTCCCCCAAGCACCCTGAAGATGGTGACAATCAAACAGCTAAAGCATGGTGTGCCCCAACAGACTTCTTCATCTTGTCTACATCTCTCCCCCCACAAATACCTCCAGCTCCACAGGCATTAAATTGATTAATGTGTTGTTTCCTCTGTGTACTCTCTGACCTACCAAACAAGGAAGATCACAATCTAATCTATCATACTTCCACAAGGATGTTATAGATTCAAGTTCTGAGGAGGATCCAATTCAAACCAAGTGTGTGTTGTTGTTTAGATATAAACACAAGGTCGAGTGTCGTACTGAGTTTATGATATGTATGTCTGAATTCCTCTTTCCAAACAAAATTGAGGGAAATACATGAATTCTGCCACCAGTTTCGTGAAATTAATCACTAGCAGTAGTGAAGAAGTACTATCTTGAAACACAGTCAACATGACATCAACACTCAGAGTTCCACATATTGCATCCTTTTGGCTTACAAACTGAGAAGGCCAGTGAAGATCCAGGTAGATCCGGCAACCCATGCTAGCCGTAAAAGGCAACTATGCTTGTTGTAAGAGGCGACTAACGGGATCGGGTGGTCAGGCTCGTGAACTTGGTTGATGCATGTCATTGTATTCAAATTGCGTAGATCATTGCTCATGATGTCGATCACTGGATTGTTTGGTCCAGATTCAATTATTTATAGACCAATCATATAGCTAGAATATTGCTGAGTGTGGTATTAAACAAAAAACCAACAAACAAAGAACAAACTGAGAATGGACACAAATAATTGATGCTGTGAGTGAGTCCTACGAGATGTTAAAAAGTATAGCTGTTTGAATCAATGAACACTGATGAAACTATTCAGAATTGTACATTGCATATGACTGAAACACTCTAACCATTAAACAATTAAACCTACGGGAACAGAGCTGAGTTGAATACAGTCCTATCAGAAAAAAAATATTGAACAAACTTTAATATAAAAAAGAACATATAAGAAAACAAAAAAATTAAAACAGGGGTAGAAACTAACAATTTTAGTCCACTCGTCCTTATAATGATAACATAAAGCAAAACCCTTAAAAATGGCAAATTTCTACAAGTCATAAGGACAACCTTAACTTTTGGGCAGTTTGGCAAGGACTACAGGACTAGTGCCAATTTCTAATGCTGTAAAAGCCATGAAAAAGTAAACTGGGGTCTCTAAAAATATCCATAAATTATACTTTGCACACACTTAATTGGGAGAAGACAGCCATGTGAGGAACGTGTGGCAACACATCTGCTCATCATCCCATCCTCTGCAGCAAGGGAACAAAAAGAAGAGACACACACATTGCCCTGCAAAGATCATTTTGTTGGGGTGTAGAATTGCACAAGACATGTATATTCCTGGGAAAGTCCCCCCTCCACTCCCCCTCCAACTTATCTGGGGATGACTCATTACCCCCCAGCACATGCACACGACAATCTGTTACTTGGAGCATCAAATCGCTCAACATTCAGAAAAAGGTATCTTTACATTAGGCTCGGGTCGTATCGCCAAACTTTTATTTTTGGCAAATGTTATGATCATATCAAGCTTAGTGACAATGAATTTCAAGATGAGGTGCATCATCTGTCAAATAAGTAGTCACTTGAGAGATGTTTGGCTGTGCTGTTAAAACAAGTTAAAAAGGACTTGTTCAGTAATCACATTTTCACAGTGCATTTGACTTCAATATCTCAATGCATGATGACTCAAAATGCTTCATATTTCAAAGAAAACACCCCTTCCCAACTTCATGTCTACATGTTGATTCTAGTTTTTGTAAGTGAGATACCAGTACAACATTTGTCATGTTTCGCTTAACCTACAGACCTCTAAGTCTACTGCTTTTTGTGTTTTGTTTCTTGTCTTACAACGCACTCAGCAATATTCCAGCTTATTGACAGCGGCATGTAAATAATCAAATTCGGACCAGACAAACCTATGATTGATATTCTAAGCAAAGTTCCATGTCCTTGAGGTAAGTCCATGTCCTTCGGCCAAGTCACCGAGCTTGACCACCAATTCCATTTTGTTGCATCTTACAAGAAACATAGGTTGCTGGGGACCAATTCTAACCTGGAATTCCACCTGTTCCCAAGTTTTCTGTTCACAATTCAGAGTGTATACAGCAACTACTACTGAACGTGAGGTGTGTGTTGTACAACCATACTAAAAAGCAATCCATCAACTAAACATCATTGCCACAACCAACTAAACACTAAAGCCACCCATATATACTAAATGGCATTGCCACAATCAACTAAATATTAAGGCAACCTATATATACTAAACTTCATTGCCACAGCCAACTAAACATTAAGGCCACCTATATATACTAAACGTCATTGTCACTATCAACTAAACATTAAGGCCACCAATATATATATGAAACGTCATTGCCACAACCAACTAAACATTAAGGCCACCCATATATACTAAACGTCATTGCCACAACACACTAAACATTAAGGCCACCTATATATACTAAACGTCATTGCCACAACCAACTAAACATTAAGGCCACCCATATATACTAAACGTCATTGCCACAACACACTAAACATTAACGATTAAGGCCACCTATATATACTAAACGTCATTGCCACAATCAACTAAACATTGAGGCCACCCATATATACTAAATGTCACTGCCACAACCAACTAAACATTAAGGACACCCATATATACTAAACATCATTACCACAATCAACTAAACATTAAGGCCACCCATATATACTAAACATCATTAACACAATCAACTAAACATTAAGGCCTCCCTATATACTAAACATCATTGCAACAACCAACTACACATTAAGGCCACCCATATATACTAAACGCCATTGCCACAACCCACTAAACATTAAGGCCACCCATATATACTAAACATCATTACCACAATCAACTAAACATTAAGGCCACCCATATATACTAAACATCACTGCCACAACCAACTACACATTAAGGGCACCCATATATACTAAACGTCATTGTCAAAACCAACTAAACATTGAGGCCACCTATATATACTAAATGTCATTGCCACAATCAACTAAACATTAAGGCCACCCATATATACTAAACATCATTGTCACAATCAACTAAACATTAAGGACACCCATATATACTAAACATCATTACCACAATCAACTAAACATTAAGGCCACCCATATATACTAAACATCATGAACACAACGAACTAAACATTAAGGCCACCCATATATACTAAACATCATTGCCACAATCAACTAAACATTAAGGCCACCCATATATACTAAACGCCATCGCCACAACCAACTAAACATTAAGGCCACCCATATATATACTTAACGTCATTGCCACAACCAACTAAACATTAAGGCCACCCATATATATACTTAACGTCATTGCCACAATCAACTAAACATGAAGGCCACCCATATATACTAAACATCATTGCCACAATCAACTAAACATTAAGGCCACCCATATATACTAAACGCCATTGCAACCATCTAACTATCATCACTGCCTCACATCTACCACACAGCGTTAGAAACTGCCCTATAGTCCTTACGAAACAGTTGAAGTATCATAAGGACTTATAGAAATTTGCCATTACTAAGGGTTTTGCTACATGTTGCCATAATAAGGAAGAGTGGACTAAAACAGTTTGTTTCGATCACAGCCAAACATCACTGACACCAATCTTCTACAGGTATACATCACTGCCTCTTATCAACTCCCTAAGTTGAATCAAACAAATATTTGGCACGAGGGAAACCCTAAATCATCTAAGATACCCTCAATCTCTGAAAGAGACCCTAAAACGAAAAATCCCAAGGAGGTTTATAAAGTTAGCAAGTCCATATTTTCTCTACAAAGAAGAGTGAGTAGGGTTTGACGCCGCTTTTAGCAATATTCCAGCAATATCATGGCCGGGGACAACGGAAATGGGCTTCACACATTGTACCTCTAGCCTACCCCACTGCCACTAAAAATGAAGCAATGTCTTATAATATGTAAAAGTAAAAAGAGCCCAGACTACCTTAAACAAATGTTGTTTTTTAATTTTCCTTAGTCTTGTGTTATTATTATCAAGAATATCTGTAAGAATTCTAAAGTGCATCACCTATTTCATTTTACCAATAATTCTTTCTATCATCAAATCAAATATCACAACTTATTTTTAGACCCATTTGGCCAAAGCAACAATTACCCTTTCATAACTAATAATAAACAAGTAATTAAATCCTGAGTCCCAGAGCAATGACTGTATCTAGGTCAGTACAAGACTTTATATCCCCTGCAGACTATTTACTCCCAAGTACAGACAGGGTATATATACTTGTGTGTATTGTACAGCCCCACAGCAGCACATAGTCGACTACAATGTGGAGATGAGTCACATCACAACACAATATGGACGTCCCTGGATCATTGAGAAAGGGACAGCTTGGATATAAACACTGTCTGGGACCATGAAAGCAACATTAAGACTGGTACAGTCGGATGAGTTCATCGACTCTAATGCTGGACAAGTGTCAAAACATCTACATCAATAGCTTCCACTTGAAACCAGTTGCCGTTTTCGTTATGAAAAGTGTTTTGTCGGTTAATGGCGCCTCACGTCAAGGGATAGATTTGTTTGCTTCAAAAGATTTTTTTCTCAATATTTACCGCTACAATAGTTGTGGTAGATTGACGGTATATACGCTGATATACATCAGACGTTTTGTATTCAATATTCAGTGTACACGGTTGCCTTGGTGAAATATGCGAAAACGCGATCAGGGCCTGTTTGCAACAAGATAATGGGCATCCTCATGGTCGCCCAAGGTGTATTCTCATAAAATATGATCACGGAGTTTTTCCAGCCAGATGTTTTGTTGAAGAAACATTTCAGAACAATCTTCACAATTTCTGTCTGGTTCAGTGAACTCTGTTTGTAAAGGAACATTATTGGCCATTTGTTACGTGAACAAACGCTGAATTTCCACTTACTTTAGAGAAGAATGCATTTTCGTTGCCTTGTAAGTAAAATCCTCCCACACCGGCGAACTACCCTGAAACAACAGGAAAATACCATGTAACATGTTGATGCAAGTAAGATAAAAACATTAATAAACATGATAAAGGCCAATTGTTAATGTTTTTGTTGTTGTTTAAAGCCACACTCAATATTCCAGCCATATGAAGTCAGCTTGTACATAACTGAGTCAGGACCAGACATTCCAATAATTGACATCATGAGCATCGATCTACGCAATTGGAATACAATGACAGCAAGTCTGACCAACTGATCATTTTGGCTGCCTCATATGGAATCCAAAATCTGAAATCCCCACGGGGTCAACTTCAAATGTATGCCAATGCTAGCTAGAACAGAACAATTCATAACACTTCATAACTTGAAATTTAAGCCCAAGTCCATCCCATGAACTAAGCACCAACAAGCAGCCTTAGTCCATTCAATGTACTAAGCACCAACAAGCAGCCTTAGTCCATTCAATGTACTATGCACCAACAAGCAGCCTTAGTCCATCCAATGTACTAAGCACCAACAAGCAGCCTTAGTCCATTCAATGTACTAAGCACCAACAAGCAGCCTTAGTCCATTCAATGTACTAAGCACCAACAAACAGCCTTAGTCCATCCAATGTACTAAGCACCAACAAGCAGCCTTAGTCCATCCAATGTACTAAGCACCAACAAGCAGCCTTAGTCCATCCAATGTACTAAGCACCAACAAGCAGCCTTAGACAATTCAATGTACTAAGCACCAACAAGCAGCCTTAGACCATTCAATGTACTAAGCACCAACAAGCAACCTTAGTCCATCCAATGTACTAAGCACCAACAAGCAACCTTAGTCCATCCAATGTACTAAGCACCAACAAGCAGCCTTAGTCCATTCAATGTACTAAGCACTAACAAGCAGCCTTAGTCCATTCAATGTACTAAGCACCAACAAGCAGCCTTAGTCCATCCAATGTACTAAGCACTGACAAGCAGCTTTAGTCCATCCAATGTACTAAGCACCAACAAGCAGCCTTAGTCCATCCAATATACTAAGCACCAACAAGCAGCCTGTGTCCATCCAATGTACTAAGCACCAACAAGCAGCCTTAGACCATCCAATGTACTAAGGACCGACAAGCAGCCTTAGACCATCCAATGTACTAAGCACCGACAAGCAGCTTTAGTCCATCCAATGAACTAAGCACCGACAAGCAGCCTTAGTCCATCCTATGTACTAAGCACCGACAAGCAGCCTTAGTCCATCCAATGTACTAAGCACCGACAAGTAGCCTTAGTCCATCCAATGTACTAAGCACCAACAAGGAGTCTGTGTCCACTCAAAGTACTCTCCTACAATCCTTAATTATCGTCTCCCAAGTGTTTACATGTGTTGCAACATGGGAATGTTGACAACATGTACGACTGTTTGAGCGAGATAAGCATGACCATGCTTTGATGTTGGATTGTGTTTACATACATACGTTGGTGAACACACGACCTCAATGGCACGTCAAGCATGTCGATAGTGTCAGCAACACAGCAAGTACTTATAGGTCGCACTTCTGATCATGTGATCATGTCATGTTACCAGTGCTGTACAGATTGATATACATTATATGACGTATGCATTGCCAAAAACCATATGAATTACACATTCTGTAAAGTAAATGATATATACCTTGTTATTTACCACATGATTAACACATTCTGAAAAATATCAAACTACATAATTTTTGGATGAACGAAATATCTCATTCACATTCATATTATGATTTATGCATCATTACATACAATGATATAGGCATATTCTGTTACAAAATGACTTACAAGCCCAGCCTCACAAGCCACAACCAAGACCTGACAATCACTGCATGGCTCTGGTAGTCTCTATCGGTCACACTGCTTGTAAGGCAGTACATTTAATCTATTTCTACATTTTCCGTCATTCAACAGTTTCAATGGAGTCAGAATTCCACAAAAAGCAAACTGATTTTTACATCAAAACATTCACCATGTTCACGTTCTTATGCACATGTTTGACAAACATTGTTTTCAGGTACTGAACAGCCATGAGCTACACAAACATCACAACCAACAGCTGTGAGTGAGTGAGTGAGTGAGTGAGTGGTGTTTAAACTTGCATTGAACTATACAAGCACGGGTATGGTACTGGCAAGCCACTGCTCATAATCAGGACTAATCTGGAATTTGATCCCACTATCACAGAATCCTGGTACACTAGGGGACACAACTCTATACAGCAAACTACAGCTCCTCCGATGCCTAGCTCCTTGCCTACCACTGTTAAAAAAATTGGTCAGATGGCTACAACATCTTCACACTTATTTTATACCAAAATTTCCACCAATTTTTGTTCTCTCATTCTGGTACAGGCAAACAAAATAAGATCTAAGATATTTGCCGATTTTTATCCAGTGTATTTGTTATTTGTATGACAATTAACGAAAATAAAAAATATAAAACCACAATATAGTTTTAAAACTATAGATTTATCATTTTACTAGTTAATAAAATACCTCACAGGCTAAGATTAATCACATGTACATGGAATCGGAAATTTGTAAAACAATACATATTGAGGCATCTGTCACACTCAAATTTCAAATGACTCTGCATAAAACTACACGGCAGTCAGAATCAGGTTACCAGACCAACTCAAAATATCTTGAGCTTAAGCAACATAGATCCATGATCACACACGCCTATTAGATAACCAGGTCGCAGCCCTTATCTTATCCTGACAAGCAGGTGTTGGTTGTCATACAGTTATCATAACATACTCGGCCACCATGTCACCACACTGCACTCAGTCATCCGTAGTAATCATAACATTTCAATCATCAGGTGGCTATATAGAACTCGAAAATCAAATCATTTGCTACCAGTTCACGGAGGGCATTCGCATGTAGAAAAACATACATAATGTCGCATGGGTCAAGGTTCAGGAAATTTTTAAAATGCCAGTTACAGTCTAATATACAATTCTAATGAAAGGGCTGTAGACCAGTTCAATGGTGTTCTTCGTCATGCATTATACGGAGTTAGTCAGGCAGCAAACGTACACGTTCTCCTCATTAGCTTCAGCTCGATCACAAAGCTTGGATTATTGGTGTGCTTTGTCTCGCTTGAAGTCGATGAAAATACATTTTAATCCATTGATGTGTACAGCTGTAAGTCAAGCCTAATGTTTGATATCAAGTCAGGATAGATATTCTTGTCTGTTCAGGGTTTGAAAGTCTTTGTGACAGCTGCCACGTAGGCAAGACACGCTTACCTTTTTACAACTACCTGGCATCATCATTATTTCACAGTGATGCATAAATACATGCTTATAATATAGTACAGATTTCAAGAAATTATATGTGTTTAACAAATACACCTTTTGATAATGCATACTATTTGAGGCCATTGGTAAATGTATTTTGTTTGTGTGTTGTTTAACTTCACATTCAGCAATATTCCATCTATATGACAGCGGTCTGTAAATAATGGAGTCTCTACCAGACAATCCAGTGACTGATATCATGAAGATCGATCTACAAAAATGGTATACGATGACATGCATCAACCAAATCAGTGAGCCTGACAACCCGATCCCGTTAGTGGCCTCTTACGACAAGCGTAGTAACCTTTTACGGCAAGAATGGGTTGCTGAAGACCTATTCTTACCCGGATCTCAATTTGTAGGCATATAGGACGCAATATGTGATACCCTGAGTATTGATGTCATGTTGACTGTTTTTTATCAATGGCAGTGAAAAGAACGTGTACACTTTGTAAACTACAACTGCTTATCATCTATATGCAGCTGAAGAGTCATGATGAAATGAATTTCACTGATTTGCATTAAAACATGCCTCTTGTTGGCACACCAAAATTTCAAAGGGCATCTTCATGAGTGCACATGTTGGCACATGGAATCATGAAACATCTAAGATGGTAACACTATTGAAATACTATCACTGTAGCCACACCATTGGGTTGTGCATCTGAACCAAACTCAGGAATTGTTCATTATGAGCAACCACTATAACCACTTGACTAATCCAATGTCCCCTTAATATTGGACGCAATAGAAACTCACTGCCAATTTGAAAAGAACATACAAACTGAAATGCAAATGTGTCCTGTAGTCCGGACCCTTTCTGTCAGATTCCCGATGTAACTGAAGGTACAATAAGGAGCACCCATGATCATTCCATTCAGGAAAACCTCAAGTGATGCAGATCGTAATCCACAAGCACAGATATGGTGCTGACAACCTCAGATTAGAACCCGCAGGATCCTGGCATGCCATGGGGCATAACTCTGTGCAATGAAGAGCCTCCACATTTATTAACAAGATTCACTTGTAACATCTATTTTCCAAATGCCAGTTGTGTCCCATATCTCCTGCAAGCACTTTTAACATTTTGTGAAATGGTTTCAGTTAGGATACATCCAACTCTACATGAATTCTATTAAACTATGTAACAAAGTGCTCTCCATCTATTTGAACATTTTAAACAAGCAACACCACTTTGAAAGCCACATGGGGGAAAAATTGTTGATACATATATAAGTAAAAAACCTAGGACCATGGGCCGGCCCCTTCCACAAAGACAACTCCCATATTTTAACATACGCTTATGATAGTATTAGCTTTGTGGAACAGGCCCCTATCATTTCGCAGCAACACAAAAACTTTTAAACATGCACCAAAGCCCCAAAGGACAAAGACCCCCTTCACTACTACCATAATCCACCATCATTTACCTCCAAAAGTGAAAATATTTTTTCACTACCAGTAAGTCTTAAAGTCAGCATAAGAAAACAGTTTGCAAACAGGGGTGTTTAACTTATAACTGTGGGGTGAAAGGTCAGATAACACAACACCTGGTCTGGATCAGCCAATATTGACGTGGAGATCAAAATAGCCCAAATTGTTCCTTGATCATGCCAGTGTTTGGTCACACCTTTGCTGGCCAGTAAATTAGGGCATATCCAGGCCTATGGAGGTGTTTAGGAAGTGTGGTTCTACAAC